AGGGTCGAATTATTCCCTATCCTTTTATCGTAATAGGGTCTGCTTAAAGAGTTGATGAACAATGTCACCATTTCCTTGTCGAAGAAAGAAAGCTCTACTTGTGCAGCCACCTCCCTCCATCTTTGGGCGTAAGCCTTGAAAGGTTCATCCCCTTTCTTACTTAAACCTTGCAAGTCGAATCTGTCGGGGATGAGGTCAATGTTATACTTATAACGGCAAAAGAAAGCGTCGGCGAGCTACTTCCATGTCTGAATCTTCCCTCCTTCCAACTGCATGTACCAATTGAGGGTTGCGTTTAATAAGCTTTCTCGAAAACAATGTATCAGGAGCTTCTCATTATTTACGTGGGCGACCTTCTTCCGACAGTACATTATTAGATGTCTCTTGGGACAGCTGGACCCGATGTACTTTTGGAAGTCAGGGCTTTTGAATTTGGCCAGGAATTGGATGTCTTGCACCAAGCACATCTCCGCAGCTTCCTGGATGTCAAAATTATGACCTTCCACAACTCTCAATCTCTCTTCCAAGGCATTCAGATGGTCCTTGGAAGCGTCGCCTACGTGACTAGCACTGTGATCATCGTGCTGGAGCTTGTTCATAGTTTTGCATATCCCTACCATTTGTTCCTTGAGTTGTTTGAGCTCTTCATTCAGCTCGCAGTTTCTTTCCTCTAAGGATTCCATAGCTCTCCTTATTTGGGTCCTTGTGAGCATGGAGTGTTGAAAAGCCACCTTTGAGGGATAACAATAAACTTCTATTACGCTTTCCGGTCGGATCTACTCAAGGGAGGTTCCTAACAAAAAATGATGATTTATCCTTATGAAGGTGGGTGTCCCTTTTCGTAATATTTTACAATGTGACAAAGGTTACATTGATCTTTACGAAGGTAGGCCATCATTGTTGTCCCTTTTCATAATATTTTATGATATGACAAAATTTACATTGATTTTTTTATCAGGAATTCCTCACTAGTTCTAGTGTATGTAAGGCATACATAGGCTTTATTCTTTATTTTCCAAAAAAGGCATTATGACTAGGGATGGCAATAGGGCCCCATGGGGGCGGGTAATAGTAAACCCGCCCCCGTCCCGCTGGATAAAAATTGGCCCTATACTTACCCCATATCCGCACGGGTATCCATTAAGCGGGTATCCATAAATTTTTTGAATACCCACGGATATCCATGGATATTTATAAATTTTTTAAGAAATTAAAAAAATTATATACAAATAATTTTAAGTTTATATTTAATATCATTGAAATATTAAAAATAAAAATTCAATGTTAATTTTGAACTTGTATTTAACATTAATTTTGTTGAAATAATTATAAAAATACAAGATAATCAATAACTTAAAATACATCAATCTCACAAGTAAGTTAAAGTTTCATCACAAAACTACAATAATTCAATCTCATAATTCAAAAACGAAAGTAAACAACTTAAAATACATAAATCTTATTTTTCCAATCAAAGCTAGAAAATTAATCAAATTACATCCAACATAATTCTATAGCATACTTAACACATGTTGGTAACTTCATCAACCTCACTTTTGTAAGAAAATAAGATGAGAGAGTGTAGTTTTAAGGTTATTTGGTACAAGGATAATTAGGATGTTTAAGAAATATTATCAAACGAGTATCTGCGGGTATGAATATCATCATACTCGCCCTCGCGCCGTTTATAAATGGGTAAAAAATTATCTGTCCCCATTATCCACGGGTACCCAATTAGCCTATCCATTTATTATCCGTAACGAATTTTACCCGTGGATACCCGCAGGTGGGGGTATTTTTGCCATCCCTAATTATGACAAAAATGACATACAAATGATTTAAAATGGTAACAATGCAACAATTATATGCTCAAACAACATACATCCACGAGTGGGGCATTCACATTCTGGGTTGTGGTTCCTGTCAAAGAAAGTGTGTTGTATAGGACGGTTCTAATCTCACTGGTTTTTAAGGCTCCAAAGTACCCCCATTATAGGGACTCAGTATCTCTGTAGCCGTCACTTGGCAAACTCTAAGGTCTGTCGTAGTATTTTGGACTAAAGTTATCACCTTGAGTGTGATTTCTGACAAGGCTCGCAGGCTCTAAGGCCAAACTTGGGCCGGTCGTACATCAATCACTCCCTATGTTTATACACTCATGCTCCCGGGTGTAGGGGGGTTGTTGTGTGTTATGATTTGTGTACAATTTTTATTTCAAACATGTGCCGAATTTAAACAAGCAAACACATATTAAAGCCATACAAGTAAAACAAACAATTTAAGGGGAAAAGATATTTAAACTATTATTCTTATCTTGTTAATTTCATCACTTTTTTGGGCCTGACTCTCTTTAAACTTCCCTAGTGGAGTCACCATTAGTCGTAACCCAAAAATTTTCGATCTTACAACTAAAATTGTTTAGACTACCTTTTAAAAATCTCACCAATTTGGGAATGCCTGGAGACAAGACTAATCCCTAATTAGTAGTTTTGAAAATAAATTCATGGAGTCACCACCAATGTTTTACTCAAAACATTGGAAAAAGAAAAGGTTTTCAAAAAGATCCAATAATGGCCTTGATAACCAAAATCAGGTTCGGGAGTCATGTAGGGAAGGTGTTAAGCACCCTCATAATGCCCTAAATTAGTACCCTTTTGATGAAATTAACACAATAAGAATTAGTTGATTAAATATTAGATCCCTTTTTGTTGATAGTTATTTACATGCGCGAAATTTAAATTTACATAGTTATTCTTGGAGAGTCTACATGATGATTGTTGGTTTAGTATAATTTTTATCAAAGTGAGATATATATAAAGGAGAGAAGAATATGATTGAAATACCTCGTAATTGAGCTCTTATTAGATCTTCAAGCTTATGGGTCAATAGGCATTTTTTGGCTAACTTTCACCTTACACTATTCCTCAAAAGATCTCAAGAAATACAAAGGAGAAAGAGAGAGAGATTTTGAGCTAGATGAAGTCCTAAACGAATTTTTTTTTACCCTGGGAGTAATGCTTAAGTCTACTATTTATAGACATCAGATCTGACCAGAATGGCCCGTTCTAGATTCGAAACGGCCTGTTCTGGGTCATTCAGTTATGAGTTAAATTTGAACCTGGAACGACCCATTCTGATGATAGAATAACCCGTTCCAGATTTAAATGTATCTCATAACAAACTGCATTGGAAGGGCCTGTTCTGGGCCGTTCTCAATTAGGATTTTTAGGTCTTTTAGTAGTTTGAAACAGCCTGTTCCAATTTAGGAACGGCCCGTTCCGGCCTGGGAACGACCCATTCTGATTTTGGAATAGCCTATTCTTGGCTACTAAACCAAGTTTATTGGGCTTCGAGCCCCCTTGTTGTCATATGGTGTTGTCTCCATGCTTTGGGAGCTTCTTCTTTTCATAATAGGAGTTCATTTCGTTGTTTTACGGGTCCGGACGAAATTGGGTGTCTACACTACTATAGGTTTGAGTGGTAATGGATGATACTTGCATGAAAGAATGTTCAAAAATCCTTGTTACGTGATATTGAATCTTTTAGTTGTACTCTTTGAATTTTGTGCAAATTAATCTTTCATGTTACTTGTCATTGTCAAAACTCAATTATTTGTCTTTTCCCTATTTCTTATCTAATGGATGCAAACTTTGTCTAATGGTTTTACTTGTAATCCTATTGTTTGTTTACAATATCTATTGTTGGCACTTGTTGAAATTCTATAGTTGACTTGAATTGTTTTCCCTTTGTCAACTGGACATAATCCTTGGTATAGACCAGTCATTTTTCAACCAAGTCTTAGTGATTTGTCTTAATAGTGTTATCCTTGACGAGAGTAAGAATGTGTAGTTATGATTCTCAAACAAGTTAGAACTTTTTTAATTGAAATATTCAAGTATACATGATCTCATTTTCTTGAGACTTGAGAATACAAGTGAGCTAAGTGACATTCCTTTAGTTAAATAATTCCTAAGGTTTTTTTTTCTTTCAAGACATGTCTAGTTACCTTTTGGGAAAATATGGAATTTTTTTTATATGTGGATTAAAATTAATCATTGGTGAAAGGTTAGGAGTATGAATCATTACTAAAAGCTTAGTCTAAGATGAATTTTAGGCTTGTCACCATTTTCCTAATTCTAGTAGACCTTATGGTGTTTGTAGTGCCTATATGTTTGGGTGACTTAAGGAAGAAATAGAGGAACTTGTAGAAAATAGTTATTATGCTTGGTGGGTCATCTTTGGAAGTACTTATGTTGATGATTAAGAAAGGTAGAAGAATATGAAGCTAAGTATTGATTATCGCTAGGTAGGATGAACTAGTTGATTGGAAGAATTTTGTTTAGATGTATAAGTTGAAAGTTTTGGTAGGTGCAAATATTTTGGCTACATTCTACTAAATATCATAACTTTGAGGAAATAGTTAAGTCTAGTATTAGAGATCATGCATTCTTGAGAAAGATAATGAGCTTAGTGAGATTCCCTTAGTGAGTGAGTATCCCAAAGCTTTCCCTAAGGACATGTGTAGCTTACCACCTGAGTGAGAGAAAGAGAGAGACTGAATTTTTCATAGACTTAGTACATCGTATTGCACCCATATTTGCAACACCCTATAGGATATCCCCTAAAGAGTTAACTAAACTCAAGAAACAAATAAAAGAGTTTCAGGAGAAACAATTCATTAGGCCTAGTGTATCACCTTGGGGAGCACCTATGTGGTTAGTGAAGAACAAGGATGGGAGAATGAGACTGTATATAGATTATAGGAAATTGAATAAGGTGACCAATACGAATGGGTATCCTTTTCTTAGGATAGATGACTTGATGGATCAATTAGTAGGAGCTAGAGTATTCAATAAGATCGACTTGAGATCTGGTTATCACTATATTAGGGTAAGGTTTGAGGATGTTCCGAGAACTACTTTTAGGACCTTCTAAAAAACTGTGTTGGAAAGAGTTGGACCTGAAATTCAAAATGTTTCGACCCAAGTGTGTTTTTGTTTTATAGTGGAACCTTAATATGAAAATACTACTTCATTCTATAGATCCTCACATAGTTGTTTGTCATGGTTTTCTACTTGCCTAATTGAATTCAAATGCTCATATTTTGCCTCACTCTGCTGCTTTTGATCTTGTAGGTTCATAGAGAATTCCGTAAACCTCTCATTGTAATGTCCCCCAAGAAACTGCTTTGTAGCAAGGCTTGCAGATCAAATTTATCTGAGTTTGATGATGTCCAAGGCCACCCAGGTTTTGACAAACAGGGAACCAGATTTAAGCGCCTCATAAAAGACCAAAATCTCCACTCAGATGTTGAGGAGGGTATTAGACGTTTAGTACTTTGCTCTGGAAAGGTATGTGGTTCTCATTATAAACCAGCTATCTTCATGTTATTATTAACCAGTTTTCATGCTGTTACATCTGGTGGATTTTATTATTCCGTATATATGAATTTAAGTGGTTCTTCAATTACATCAGACTAGTATATATCCATTGTTTTCTAAATTGCTGTATATGAATATAAAATTCAACTACCACTTGCAGATTTACTATGAACTTGATGATCAACGAAGAAAGGTTGATGCAAAGGACGTTGCAATATGTAGAGTGGAACAACTTTGTCCTTTCCCTTACGACCTTGTCCAACGAGAGCTTAAACGATATCCAAGTATGTACTTTGGAAACAAATTCTGATTTCTTCTATGTTTTTCTTGTTGAAGGTGTGAATGGGGTATAATTTATCTTTTTTTTCCTAGCATCTAATTCTCGTTTGTCCTTCTGTTATAGGCAGTATTTAAATTTTCTACTTTTATCTTTGCATCTGTTACCCAAGAGTTCTCCCCATAGGGATATAATTTCACTTTTTTCTGTTAAACAGGACTAACTATTTTGCAATAGCAGTATATCTTCCCCCCCCCACCCTCACATGGATCCATCTTAGCTAGATAGGAAAAATTAGATCTGGTTAAATTCTGATTGATCCATGTTACCCAATTGTTTAATGCATTGAGATGTGGGGAGAATAATGCAACATGAAATTTTATAAAATATGACATATTTTACATCGGTTCTGGGTGGAACCGATGTAAAATATATGATATATTTTACATCGGTTCCACCCAGAACCGATGTAAAATATGTCATATTTTATAAAATTTCATGTTGCATTATTCTCCCCACATCTCAATGCATTAAACAATTGGGTAACATGGATCAATCAGAATTTAACCAGATCTAATTTTTCCTATCTAGCTAAGATGGATCCATGTGAGGGTGGGGGGGGGAAGATATACTGCTATTGCAAAATAGTTAGTCCTGTTTAACAGAAAAAAGTGAAATTATATCCCTATGGGGAGAACTCTTGGGTAACAGATGCAAAGATAAAAGTAGAAAATTTAAATACTGCCTATAACAGAAGGACAAACGAGAATTAGATGCTAGGAAAAAAAAATAAATTATACCCCATTCACACCTTCAACAAGAAAAACATAGAAGAAATCAGAATTTGTTTCCAAAGTACATACTTGGATATCGTTTAAGCTCTCGTTGGACAAGGTCGTAAGGGAAAGGACAAAGTTGTTCCACTCTACATATTGCAACGTCCTTTGCATCAACCTTTCTTCGTTGATCATCAAGTTCATAGTAAATCTGCAAGTGGTAGTTGAATTTTATATTCATATACAGCAATTTAGAAAACAATGGATATATACTAGTCTGATGTAATTGAAGAACCACTTAAATTCATATATACGGAATAATAAAATCCACCACTACTAGAAAAGGATTCATCAACATCGCCAATTTTACATCGGTTTTAGTATAACTGATGTAAAAATAAATTGCGGTGGTATTTTACATCGGTTTTAAAAGAAAACGATGTAATATTAAGTATTTACATCGGTTTGTTGGAGGACCGATGTAGTACTGAAAGCACGGTGGCAATGTCGTAAATAAGAAAAAAACATAAATATATCTACATCAGTTCACTTTAAGACCGATGTAGAACTGAATAGCTTTCCTCGATTGCATATGCCACCACCAAAGAAAGCCCTCGCGCTCGTCACATCTAAAGAACGCCTTCGTCGTCTCTGAACCCTTTGCTTCCCATCGTTCTCCAAAGCCCTTTTGTTTTTTTGATTTTGATTCTGCGAGAAAACCCACAACCAGATGACGAAGAGGACGGCGCAGACGAACAAATTGAGGAGGAGGAGGACCTAGATCTGCTTCTTCCAGACGTGTTTGGGGCTTGTGGTGGTGGTGGAGGGGCTTGAGGGAAATGACGTCGTCAGAGCCCACCGCCACTCCACCTTCAAAACGGGCCTCAGGCCCACCCCCACCTTCGTCCCTTCCGTCGTCGCCACGCCCAATTCCTCCCTCCTTAGTGAAGAAGCCTTCAAAGGACTAAGCCAAGGCTTCGACCCAAACGACCACGACTTCGACCAAAATTCCCATTCCGAAACTGCCAAGCCCGACAAACTCGACATTTCCAAGCTCCACTTGCCCACGCACCTTGTCAAAACCCTCCGCACCCGAGGGATTACGCACCTTTTCCCTATTCAGGTTCCTTTTCTTTTTTTTCTTACTTGTTAGGGTTACATTACGCTACCGATGTTTACCTTCATTTCCTTCTTTATGCATCATTAGAGAGCTGTGTTAGTACCTGCACTTGAAGGCAGAGATATCATTGCTCGAGCCAAGACCAGCACCGGTAAAACATTGGCGTTCGGGATTCCAATTATTAAAGGCCTCACTGAAGATGAACTTGCACCTTCTCACAGGTAATCAATCATCCTTCATGTTCTGCACTTTGCTTTATGTATATATAACACCAATTGATTTTTAAGTGTTTCGATTTTTTATTCTAAAACCAAGTTAGCAGTAAAATAATTATTTATCCAACTCGAAAAACTATTTAGAATTGTTTCAACTCAAAGTTAAATCAATTTTGGACTTGAAAAATTAGTTTCTCAACGTGAAACCTTACAACATGTGGACGTTTACTTAAAATTTCACTAGCTGGTAATTTTAACATGATTTTAGATCATCCAACATGAATCCGGACATACACATGATTACATATCATGCTGATGGTCATGCATTTGATTCTTTGTTGCAGGCGGTCTAGTAAGCTTCCGAGAGCTTTGGTGCTTGCGCCTACAAGGGAGTTGGCCAAGCAAGTGGAGAAGGAGATAAAGGAATCTGCGCCTTATCTCAACACTGTTTGTGTCTACGAGGGTGTTTCTTATGTTACCCAGCAGAGTGCACTTTCACGTGGTGTGGACGTGGTGGTTGGGACTCCAGGGAGAATAATTGACTTGATAAATGGGAACAGTCTTAAGCTAGATGAAGTTATCACTTAATTTTTTCACTTTCTTTTGTGATTTAAAGTTCAAATTCAGAAGCTTATCTTTTCTTTCACGAGCAGGCAGCCAAGGAAACAACTACCACGAATGTTGTTGGGGAAAATTTAGGAAACTGTTCGGAGGATTTACTTGCGGCTAGAGATCTTGATTAAGCCTGTTTTGTTTCTTCACTCAACAAATAGATTGAACTAATATTAAGATTTAGAGATTTAGTACACTCCATTTATATTTATGCAGAATATATTCTTTCAAACAGTTTGTGGATGAATTGTGAGGCTGTGGATGGAGATGGAGGTGGGTCATTGTCTTATCATAAGCAAAGAAGAGGTGGGGAGTTAGTTAATTGGGTGAGGGAAAGAAAGAAAAACACTTCAAATTTCTGTCCCATACCATTTTCATTGGACTAAAGTCCACACACACTGTGGAAAGAATCATCATGGCAAGGGTGGTTGCACTCCAACAGAACCAACTTTCTTTCTCTCCCTTAGCTTCCTCTCTTTCCGACTTCAGTGGAACCAGACTTCAAACTCAACTTCAGGTCCTCATCTCTAACACTTTTTCTCCCTCCTCTTTTATGTAACACTAACATCACTATCATTTCATACAATACCCGTCTCTATTTTAATTCCAAATTCAATGCTACCACGTGTATTTGTACTTTGTATGTGTGCATTTAGTAGCAGATTCTGAACAACATTGTGTATTCATGTATTACTAATCTGGAACAGTAAGCTGCCTAATCTGTCTTTGATGTATTTTAGAAGTCTAATCACCTATAAAAGAAAATTATCGCTGTTCAATTCTTTAATGAATTGCATAGTCGACTGAATTTAAGAAGGAATTTTACACTTGCAAAAAACTCCTCACACAATTCTTGAAATCTAGTTCGTTGTATTTAACGATTCAATATAGAAAATCATTTGTGACAGGTATATAGAGTTCTCCAATTCTTAGCAGTAGTTGACTCATTAAAATAAATCTGAAATCTAGATGAAACTATCTATTGTTCTATTCTGGCATGCCCTTCATTTTCTTTGATATGTAGATGGAATATGCCCTTCATTTTTCAATTATTAATGGATTTAGAGTTAATGCCTTAATGTTGTAGTATCTTATTCAGATTTCAAACATATTGCAAGTCTATACAGTGTGGGTTATTTTGTTGGTAAGATGATTTTAAAAGAAATAAAGCTTGCACTTGCCATTTTTTTGTCCACTTTAGAAAATTCTGATGTGTATTTATTTTAAACGGGTCAAGCATGGTGAATTGCTTTTTGGGCGTAATAAGCTTTTGTCTCTTATGGTCGGCAAGAGTCAAATGTCACGAACCGGAGGTATCACATTGTTCATATTCCTTGATACAATAAAACGTATTTGTTGTGTTTGTTTAGTATACCTTTGTGTGTGTGTAAAATATACTAAACTGTATATTTTCTCTGATCATGAGTAATATCATCAGATGGGCTTTTGACCATTAATTATAAATGTCTTTAATTTTACTTATTTTATTTTTGACCATTTATATTTAACTTGTGTTTATAATCTTTAAAATATATGTCATCCCACCATGTGTTATCCACTATAATGATTTTGGGGTTGGCTGCTCTGCACTGCAACATAATGGTTTTTATTTAACTTGTATAATGGTTTTTATTTAACTTGTATAATGGCTGCTCTGCACTGCAACATAATGGTTTTTATTTTCATTAACCACCTCTGTGAAACATAAAAGTCAGTGTGGTTTACTGATTATGTTTTGGGTGGAAGTTGAATTTCCTGTGATGACTGGGAAATATGCATGGATTAAAATTGTATATATAATATATTTAATTGAAGATATGTCATGTGTTTCAACTCTGCTACAGTTTTGGCATTCCTTCATTTCTAAAATGGTTGTGTGCCAAATGTGTTGTTCCCTTTATTTGTTTGGCTCTTTGCATAGGGTTCTGATAAAGTTCTGTCAGTGGCTCAAGGCTAGGCTAGCAGGTGCGTTGTGACCTTTGTTTTTTATATTGTTAAGTTTATTTACTACTGCAATTACTAATATAATTATTTACTGATGTTTATTGTCATGTCAACTCTTGGATTGAATATGACAGTGTCAACACTTCTGTATGTTCAGGACCTTGCTCAAAATTTTGTTGTGTAGTTTGGAAATGAAGGAATGAGAATCAGACTTGTTAAATTAGCGCATTGAATACTCATAAAAGTTTATGTTCTGTTCTCAGTTTTAACAAATTCATGACTAGTTCCTTAGACCTTTTTGGTTGTCCTGTATGTGAACCAAAGTATGACAATAGAGGATTCTTTTAAAACACTTTGTGTTGGAAAGAGTTGGACCTGAAATTCAAAATGTTTCGACCTAAGTGTGTTTTTGTTTTATAGTGGAACCTTAATATGAAAATACTACTTCATTCTATAGATCCTCACATAGTTGTTTGTCATGGTT